AGCTGAAAAAGCTCGGACCTGAGCATGTTGATGTCGCAACGTCTTATAATAACCTGGGCCTTGTCCACATGCAGCTGGGTGACCTAAAGCAGGCAAAAGACTGTCTCGAGCGAGCGCTGGATATTCAGCTGAAAAGGCTCGGACCTGAGCATGTTGATGTCGCAACGTCTTATGATAACCTGGGCGCTGTCCACCAGCGGCTGGGTGACCTAAAGCAGGCAAAAGACTTTCGAGAGCGAGCCCTGGATGTTCGGCTGAAAAAGCTCGGACCTGAGCATGTTCATGTCGCAGCGTCTTATTGTTGCCTTGGCCATGTCTACATGCAGCTGGGTGACCTAAAGCAGGCAAAAGACTTTCAGGAGCGAGCCCTGGATATTCAAGTGAAAAAGCTCGGACCTGAGCATGTTTATGTCGCAGCGTCTTATAATAGCCTGGGCCTTGTCTACGGGAAGCTGGGTGACCTAAAGAAGGCAAAAGACTTTCAGGAGCGAGCCATGGATGTTCGGCTGAAAAAGCTCGGACCTGAGCATGCTGATGTCGCAGAATCTTATAATAACCTGGGCCTTGTCTACGAGCAGCTGGGTGACCTAAAGCTGGCAAAAGACTTTCACGAGCGAGCCTTGGATGTTTCGCTGAAAAAGCTCGGACCCGAGCATGTTCATGTCGCAACATCTTATAATAACCTGGGCTTTGTCCACAGGCAGCTGGGTGACCTAAGGCGGGCAAAAGACTTTCACAAGCGAGACCTGGATGTTTTGCTGAAAAAGCTCGGACCTGAGCATGTTGATGTCGCAACATCTTATAATAGCCTGGGCCTTGTCTACGGGCAGCTGGGTGACCTAAAGCAGGCAAAAGACTTTCACGAGCGGGCCTTGGATGTTCGGCTGAAAAAGCTTGGACCTGACCATTTTCATGTCGCAACGTCTTACGATAACCTGGGCATTATACACAGGCAGCTAGGTGACCTAAATCAGGCAAAAGACTGTCACAAGCAAGGCCTGGATGTTCGCCTGAAAACGCTCGGACCTGAGCATGTTGATGTCGCAACGTCTTATAATAACCTGGGCCTTGTCCACGGGCAGCTGGGTGACCTAAAGCAGGCAAAAGACT